CAACTCATTAGCCGCAACTCGTCCAAGCTTTCGCATGGCCAGTCAGTGCACTGCCAAGTGTGTGTGTGTGTGTGTGTGTGCGCGCGCGCGCATTTGCTTGGACAGGCTGTGAGGTGTTTTTTCTAAACTAAAACCTCAGTTTTCAGGTTTTATTGCAGTGTTGGCACTTTCCGATAAGTAAGTGGGTTTTGGGTTGCAGTTTGGGCACTCGGTCTCTAAAAGGTTCACCATCACTGGGTTAGGGTTACAAAAATGAGGTGTCCTGGCATGATTTTGATGTTTAAAATGGGCAGAAATGATAAGCTGTGCAAAAAAAGCTACTCAAGGAAGGCTTTTTCAAAATCGTCCTATTTTCAGTGGAACTTTAGCCCTATATTAGGGTTAGGGGTGTGCACCAGGGTAGGGTTAGGGCAGTGGTGGTGAACCTATGGCATGTGTGCCACAGTGGGCACACTGAGCCCTCTCTGTCGGCATGTGACTCAAGTCACCCCAGCATTGCCGCAGCAGCCAAGCATCAGATAACAGCGCACATAGGGGCCATGCGCATGCTTGGAAAGGAGTAGCGGCACCAGGCTATGACATCACCAGCCGCATCTCATTAGCTGCAACTTGCCCAAGCTTTCGTAAGGCCAGTCAGTGCGCTCCCAAGGATGTATTTGCTTGGACTGGCTGTGAGGTGTTTTTTCTAAACTAAAACCTCAGTTTTCAGGTTTTATTGCCATGTTGGCACTTTGTGATAAATAAGTGGGTTTTCGGTTGCAGTTTGGGCACTTGGTCTCTAAAAGGTTCGCCATCACTGCCTTACAGTATGCTGTGACCAATTTGAATGACTTTGTCTTCAAAATACCATGAACTGGGCATCACAATTAACGCAATTCCATTAGTAGAAGTTCCGAGAGTATCATCCAGTCCAGTTTCATTAAGTTTCAGTTGTTGAACTGTGAGAATTAATAAATTTGAATAAATGACTATTTAAGTAAAATATATAAATACCATGGTAATTTGAGTTGTTTTTATAAAGGTTTATCAGACTGGTTTTATTGGTGCTAGCTGCCAGACAGTTTTATTTAAAAGCTTGTTTTAAAATGGTTGTTTAAAATGGTTTTATTAAGTGAATATTTGGTTTTTTTATTGTTTTATTCTACTGATTTATCATGCATGATTTTTACTGAAGTATTTGTTGTCATTGCATGTAATGTAAGTCACCCAGAGAGCCTTACGGCTATGAGGTGCAGCATACAAGGGCAATAAATAAATACTATTCTGCCATTACATTGCTGTCTCATAGTTCAAATGACTCTAACTGTAAATGATTCAGAATCTGAATGCTAAAGTCAAGATAATATCACTCCAAAGTTTGAATGATGCTTCTACATTCGAACTGCATGTGCTGTGAAAAAATGCAGTCACTACATAAATGTTATCTGTTGTGCATCTAAGTCAGCGGTCCCCAAACTTTTTCAATAGGGGGCCAGTTGAAAGGTTGCGGTGACAGTCACAGACTGGTGAGATGAGGGTGCCTGGAGGAGCAGGCCAGTGAGGTGCCGTTGGGCGCGTGCAAGGAGGCATCAGGCGTGTGCGAGGCGGCGGCGGGCAGGTGCAGTGGTGGCTCACTTGCTCGAAGATCTCCCAGTGAGTCCAAAACCATTTCCGAGTGAGCAAGCCACCACCTCCCCACCCGTGCTGCGAGGCCGCAGCGAATGCGTGTGCGGGCGGCAGGCAGCGGCACAGGCCAGATGGATGGCCATGGTGGGCCGGATCCGTCCCGCGGGCCGTAGTTTGAGGACCCATGGTCCAAGTTGTCTCTCACTGTGAAACATCTCTTGTGTAACACTCATGCTGTATAATAAATGCCATTTTCATCTTGTTACATAGCACATATTTATGTATTTTATTGTTTTCAGGTTTAAATTAATAATTTTGGCATATAATTGTGATTTTTTTTACCTTAAATCATGCGTATTTGCTGTTTAAGTTTATCAAAATGGGTATTGTTTAGGGTCTGGGAACGGATTAATTCACTTTCCATTATTTCTAATGGGAAAAATTGATTCAAACTTCGAACAATTCAGAGTTTGAACGGCCCCTGAAATGAATTAAATTTGAAGTATGGGGCACCACTGTACTCTTCAATCTGCAATCCACGTTCATTTCAATGTGCTGGAATTATCATTCAAAGACCTAAAAAGCTTGAGGCCAGGTTACCTGAAGGATCATCTCTTGCCCTATAAACTGTCCAGACCCTAAGACTATCCTCAGAAGTCTGACTCCAAGAGCTCCTGCCAAAGACAGATACTTACTAAGAAATGTCCTTTTCTGTTATGGCAACCAATTATGGAATGAGCTTCCCAGAGAGATCCCCCTGGTGCCATCGTTATTTGCTTTTCGGTGCCAGGCCAAGACCTTTTTATTTAAATGTTATTTTAATTAACTGTTAAATTATTTATTGCTTTTATTAATTGCCTGGATGTATCCAATTTTTATATTTTTGTATATTGTTATTTATCTGTTGGAAGCTGCCCTGAGGCTTATGTGAATGGGGCGGCATACAAGCATTCCAAATAAATAAATAAGCTTTCAAAAGAGGCTAACCTGAAACATATGTTGGGTTTTTCAGGCACCAGTTGATTGCAAGTACTCTAGTCTTCCAAGTTCTGTTTTAAATTTATTTATTTATTTATGGTATTTTTGCCCCATCTAAAACCCAGTGGGTCTTTGGACAGCTTACAATTCAAATCTCTTAGTGCATTTTAAATCTTTGCATTGCTACTGTTTTTTTTTTTTTTTTCCTTTTACACTGTAGTTTTAAACCTTTTATGCTTATACTGAGCGTAATGTTGCATTATGTTTTTAATTACTGTGAACATTCAGAAAGCCTCATCTCCTGTTTGGTATATAAATGTAATAAGCACATAATCACATACTGTCTGAACAAGCCAAGATATCTGAAACTATATTTGTTTGTTTGTTCATTCGTTCATTCATTTATATGCTACCTACTACCGTAGTCTCAAGGTGACTTACAATAAAGATAAAAACACATAAAATACATATATATAGATAAGAACACATGTGCAATAAAATAAAACTTCATTATCAACATTTAAAACCTAACCTAGTGTAGTACATCAGCAACTAAAATCTTAAACTTCAGGATAAAATGAAGATATGTAAAATTAGATTAGGACAATGAATGCAGGAATCCAGTGGTGCTACTATTAAGCAAGTTTCTGGCAAACTGAAACATAACTCTGCTTGTGAAAAGAGAGAGAAGAAAAATGATGCTTACATATTGACTCTATCAGGCAGAATTTTAAGCAGAGTGGCAGATTTTAAAATCAGATTTAATCTTTATTTTATCTCTAAGCTTCAGGAAAAACTATTAATGGAAAATTCCTAAGCCCTTTACAAATACTACAATCATCTTTAGGAACCTATTAGCTAACTTCGATAATTAACTGATTACCTTAGGGTTTGTCCTCATTAAAAAGAAATCTGTCTAAGCCAATGCTGGCTTCTGTCACCAAAATAGGGAGGCAATTCTTATCAATTTCCCTTTTTTCTGCAGTCCCATGCACTACCTCCCATGACGCATACTGTTTGAAAGGGTCCCTTCTGGAGGTAATTTTAAGCGGACAGAGGGATAATTGGCTCTTTCTGATGGAAGCCACTGCTGGATCAAAGAGCCTTTCATCAGCAGAGAGACACTACTGGATTCAGCCCAGTGTCAAAATCCAAACCATATGCAAAAATGAATTTGTACAAGAAAACTTGCCTGCTTTCGAATAGTAAAGAAAGTCAAATTAATCACACGTGGGAAAAATTCTAAAGAATTATCTTTAAAAGCTAAATGAAAAAAATCAAACTTCAACTTGGTATGCAGTGAAGAGTTTAAAAGGTGCACAGCGCCTAAAAGAAACAAGGCAGCAATGAGAGAAAGAACACATTGAATTGGGCAATGATAAATAGATGTTGATACACTGAAGGACATGTGACTCATAGGTACTTGGCCTTTAAACCTTTGGACAGTAACATAAAGGGACTATATACCTGAAGACTTCTCTTTTCATACAAAAATATTGAAAACAATTTTATTTTAGAAATAGCCATGCTAAAGAATCCTACAACAGTTATGTGGTCTTTGAAGTTACAGAACCCAAAACAGGCAAAGTAGTACCCCTTTGGGTGCAATTCTATGCAAATTTAGACAGAAAAGTGAGCAGCATCTCCTAGCCAGTCACACTAACTGCCAAATATTAGGAACTGCAGGATTTTTTTCTGTCTAAACATGTATAGGGTTGCATCTTTACTAGATCAACCTGTACTGTGTGCTTTTAGTTAAACAGAATAATGAGGCATGAAGGAAAACATCTAGATCTCAAAGATTTTAAATTATGGTCAACTGCAAATGTAAGGTGTCATTAATCACTTTAAAGTAGCCTGTTCATGTCACTATCTAAGAAGATCAAATATGTGTGTGTAATTTACTCATTTTCATGCTGCTTGTATACCTTTTGGATGGCAGAAAAGGAAAATGAACTAGATCAGATCAGAAACAGTAATCAGTCCCACAAAGGGTAGTGTGCATCAACAATAATGCACCACCAGAAGCTTCTCCCATTTCCATAGTTATCAACAAGGGAAAAGTTAAGAGTGACCTACAGAATTCTAACACTCTTGGCTTGCTAACCTAATCTCATTGCTACCAATTCTTCCAAGGATCACTGCTCCTACTAGTTCTCATCTCCACACTCCCATTAAACCCCCTTTCATCTCATTTCTTTAATCACTACTTATGCCCAGAAACAAGGTTCTGGTTAGGTTCTCAAACAGAAGATTACAATGAACCCCTAGGATTACTGCTTCAGTCTCCTCTGAGGGAAACACATTTCAAATTGGCAATACTACTAGGTAAGAGATGCCTAACTAAGGAATCCATACAAGTAGAAACCTGCTAATTACAACAATTGACACATGCGATTACATGCATTTGCCAGTACCTTGGCAATCCAGATGCTGGATCCACCACTAAAATGCTTCCTCCTGTCCCTGCAGGGAGTACAGAAGAGAAGCTCAGCCAACTAGGCAGTATCAATAGGGAAAACAAACATTATAAACAATTAAATCACTAGCATTAACCAAAGTGTACTGCTAAACATGGGCTGGAGTTCAACCAAAGAAAGGAGGAGCCAGCCTTCCAATTACTATTGCAGACCATGTCCAGGAATTCCACTCTATCATCTAATCCCCCTACTTATCTTCAGTACCTCAAATGTTTTACAATTCACACATTCATGGTCTTCCAGAGATGGAGAATGAAGGGTGCATTAATGTAGTCGAGGAAGGCCAATATTTTAAGTATTATAATAATTAATATTTTAGTTTCTACACCACTTTCAGGGTGGTTTAATACAAATACAATTAATAGAACATTAACAAGAATTAAAAATAAATTTTAAAAAGTATGCCCAGCTTAGTCTGTGCCTACCTATGACATTACTTTAAAAAACTAATGCATACTCTGAATCACTGCCTATCTGGAAGCAAGTTCCATAGAAAGTAATGGGATTTGCTCTCAAGTTAATTTCTGCAGAATCAACAACACGCATGCATAATGACATACAAATGCATAAACAAATACATCTCTACATAATAAACAAGCTGACTATTGTCAGACAGGAAAGAAATGACATACAGGAGAGTCATACTGACTCAGTAAACAACTAAGCATTCTAGTTATCATTGCACCAGATTGAGTAACTAGGAAGAGAAAATCAAGTACTGCAAAATAAATGCCAAGCTATATGCCTGGCAATTATATCAGATATTGGCAATGACAGCAACAAGAAGTTGTACTCTTTCTTTACAACTGACTTGGCTTGGGCTATGCCCTTGCTTAAACCTTTTCCTGCACCTTTCAAATTTTCCAATTTCTTTCATGCTTATGTCACAGGCCCTCTAGAAAGAGGCAGGACAGCTAATACATTCATGTTAGAGCTGGAAGAGTACTGACAGAGAAAAGTTGTTAGTTGTATGCAACAACAACAAAACAGAAACCTATGCTAAAGTTAAAGATAGAATGTTACAAATTCAAATTATGCCTGGCACATTAACCTACACTCTGGAGCAATACTTGAGGAACCAAAAAGCTTTGTAAATGCAAAGCTTATGTGAACAGACAGGGGACTGAGCAGGCTGCATCACTGCTGCTACCATGGGCCACGACAGGGTTAACTTAGTAGCATTATTCTCATCATCCTCATCACCACCAGCAAAGTGAGGCTCTTTCTGTCAGTCATTACTAGTGAGTCCTATCATAACCATGGCAGGGGACGGCTCCCTCACTCCCCTCATCAAAGCTGCCAGAACTGAGTGACGTGCCCAAGGTCACGCAACGCACCGCGTGCGCCAAGACCACCCGAGCAGCTCGGCCGAGGGAAGGTTCCTGCATGCCTTCTCCACCCCGCGCCCCGTCACCCGGCGCCAGCGGGACAAGGACTACGACACTGCTGACTTGGGCCACACCGCCTCCCCTCCGCTGCAGACGGGCGGCTGTTGCAGCGCGCTGCCCGCCTTACCTTTCACCTCTCTTCCCAAGGGTCCTCGGGGAAAGGGGCGGAGTGACCCTCCGTCCCCAAGTCCGCCGCCACCTCCGGAAAGGGGGCAGGTCCAGGGCGAGAAGATGCTTGAGGAGAAGCCAGACTTTAGGAGTCCAGCGGAGCCCCCGCTCGCTCCTACAGAAGCTGGGCGCGCGCCCGCTCCCCTGGGCGCGCGCGCGTCCCTTCACTCTCTCTCAGTGCCGTTGCCGTTCAGAGTCGCCGCTTGATTTTCTCATCAACTGCCGCCCTCGCCCTCCTCGTCGTCCCGCTGCTGCTTCTTTTGCCTGCTGCTCGGGTGGGGGGGGGGGAGGCTGCTCGTGCGCAACCACGCCCTTCTGGGGAAGTCACGTGACGGGGATCCTCGCCCGGTGCTGAGGTAGCCGCCTAGACGCCGCCCTCGTTTTTATGGTGTGACTGGGACGAGCTCCGAGCAGAGGGCCTCTAGCTTGGGTTCCGGGGTGAAGGGCCCATCCCACTGCTTCCCCAGTGTGCGGCCGCGGCCCGAACTCGGCAGCTGTCTTCTCCCCCCGACACATTCCCCCCCCCTTGTCTGACATTTCCCTAGGGCCGAGCAGTGCAGCTCGGCACTTCTGGGGATGCCAGGGAGCTCGGGGGACCTGCTCGATAGATAAAGCAGCAATATAAGGAATAATGCTTCCCCGCTACAGTAGTTGGAGATGGCAGGCCGCGCATTTAGAGATTGTGCTGCAGTCTGCGCAGGAGAGCGTTTGCTCATCCGCCTTTGGAACCGTTGCCTGTACAAAAGGAAAGTCCCCTCTTCTGTAGCATGCTGTGAAGTTGTGAAAGAAACGGAGACACTGCTGTATTTTTTCCTATCCATCTCGCTTCCCTCTCTGCTCTTTTAAAACATTTTTATCTAAGATCTAACTGGTGGCCCTCCAGACGCTTTGGTCTACAACCCCACTAGCTCTAGTCAGCATAGCAAATAGTAAGGAATCATGGGAGCTGCAGATTAAAAACATCTGGAGGTTTCCAGTTGCCTGGCCTTGAAAATAAGGCATGCTTCCCCAATCTTCATGGGTCTTGCTGCCTGGGGAATGTGTTGCATCCAACGCACTGGGAGGATACCAGTTTGTATTATTAGAAGAGGAGTTTTAGTAACATATTTAGCACCTAAAATTAGCTTACTTGATCAAAATATCTGGTTCTAAGTACAGATACTAGAAGAACACAAACTCCAAATGTGCAGTATCCAGCTAGTTGCTACTTACTATGCACCAGAGAAAACATAACCAGCTTTCTTTGTACTTCGTTGAATTACTTGAAATTGCACTGTTGAATTTTTTCCTAGAAATTCTAGTCAAAACACCAAGGCCATCTGTCAGACATCCACACTCACGTTGTGAGCATCCTGTTTTGATATGTGATTTCTTTTCCTTTAGGCTTTTATGTAGCTTAATCAATGGCTAAGAGTTGTAAGTGTTCAAGACTGCAAAGAGTTTAGGTGCACCTACCTTGATAGGATTGGACTCTACATTAGCATTGCTGACTGATGTCTAGCAGCGACTGAATGTACACACACTTGGTGGAGACAGAAAGTTTGGCAGATTAAATGTAACCAGTAATGGAGAAATAAGCTGGGTTTTTATTATATGGCTGCTCTGAAATGGTGGGAGGAGCTTCAAGTTTATGCTGCTGCTGCTGTTACTTAACTTGAGAATCAATGTATACTACTTTTACTATTGACAACAAGCCTGAAAAATTAAGTGCCACCCTAATTTGAAAGTATTGTGCTTATGTACATATTTTGATTAGTGCTTCCGGTAATATGCCTTAAGGAAAGAAAAAATTGTGAATGGATGGAACAGCTACACTGCTGTTTCTCACTGCTCCTAAGTGTTACAGGTCACCCTTAATTTCTGGTACGTTGAGGGCAGTAACCTGTAACCGTTGAGAGAAGCTCCATACCAAATTAGAAAGGCATATGAGAACCTTCAGCCATCAGAGCAGGAAAAGGCAATTTCAGAGAGTCCAGGGGCAAATTTTGTTTTTTTGGTGCCAGCTGGGGGCTCCACACCCTACTTCACCACCAAAATTGCCAGAACACTGCCAAATTGCTTCTGAATTTTGGTGGAATAATTGGAAGACCTATAAGAGCACAATTTGCTGTTAAACAAGGTCTGTGTAGGGAAACAAGTGTTGCCACTTGTTTTAAAAGGGAAATGTGTCTTGCCATTACTGCACTGCTGAAAATAGGTTGTGCAGCGGCAGCAATTTGGCAGGTGTCAAGGGAGCACAAAGCAGACCAGTGGTGCGTGGGTTTCTCATTGCTGTTTTATATGAATTCAGGCTAAGTACATCCCAAGCAGAACTGCATGAATGCAAGCAGCTTTGCTGGTGAGCCTATTCTGATTTACTGTAGCAACAATACATTAAAACAACTGCCTATGAAAGTGTGAAAGCAGGACTTACAGCTGAACCTTAAGAAAACAAAAATTATAACTATAGCAGAATTACAACTTTAATGTCAACAATCAAAGATATCAAAGAAGAGTGACACTTGGAGGGTGGCAATGAAGGAACTAGAAAAGATCATCAAGTGTAAGGAAGTTTCACTGGAGAACAAGGCCAATATAATCCACACTATTGTATTCCCAGTCACTCCATAATGGTATGAAAACTGGACACTGAGGAAAGCAGATAAGAAGGAAATTGATGCATTCAAAATATGGTGCTCATGCAGAATCTTGTGAATACTCTGGTCTTTCAGATAAACAAGTGGGTCCCAGATCATGAGTCAAGCAATGATGTTCCTTAGAGGCAAAAATGGCAAAACGGAGACTGTCCATACTTTGGGCACAACATGAGAAGGCAATACTCATTGAAGAAGACACTCATGCTAGGGAGCATCAAAAGTAAAAGAAGAAAAGGAAGACCAAGTATGAGATAAATTGACTCAATAAAGGAAGCCACAGTCATGAACGTACAAGAGCTGAGCAGGGCTGTCGAGGACAAAGCATTTTGGAGGGGATTCATTCATATGGTTGCTATAAGTCAGAGACAACTTGATGGCACATAGCATAGCATTTACAGACTACAAATCTTGCTTCCAAGTGGCGCTCATGGAAGTGCTCAGCCAGAAAGATTTTATGTTGATTTTTAGCCTTCCTGTCTGAGAGGAGAGATTATTGGCCAGTTCAGCTTTATTTAGGGCACAATTGATTGTGTACATGGGCGGGGGGTGGGGGGTAGTCTGAAAACTTCCAGCATACTCCAGCTAGCTTGGGATTTGTGAGCTTTTTTCTTCTGTCTAAGCAGAACCAGCATGATGTGATGCTTAGTGTTCTGGACTGGGGACCTGGGAGATCCAGCTTGCACTTAAAAAGCAAGCGAGAATTGGTAAGTCATGTCAAGGTTTTTGCTACTCCTTTTCATGACCAGTAGATAATGCGTCTGGCTTTTTTCAGGTTGAAGGGCCATAGCCCAAAGAATCAGAAGGCACTGGGCCAATTCACAAGATCACAGCAGCCTAATATGTCTTATTGAACCATTGTAGGTTGTTGTACATTGCAATGGTTATTTTGATTATTCATGGGTGGGTGCTGTGGCTTATCATGCTGTGCCATCCTGGTGAGAATGTCTTACATGAGGGTTAAACATCCCTTGCATTACCCTAAAAGAGCCCATAGGTTATTTAAACCCTGCATAAGCCACCTTTGCTGGCTTCCTACAACACAATAAGCCATGGCAATCACATGCTATGGCTTGAATATTTGAAAGGGCAGCTAACACATCCACAATTCACTGACCAGGTTTGTTGAACATGCTAAACCATTTGGGGTGGGTGGGCTTGGTACATTGTCTAAATCCACTTCTCAGATATGGTTGATGAACCACCCCAGGTAGCCCTGGCTTGTTCTTGGATTTAGGAAACTCACCATGGCCTTGTATGCTCTCTGAACCTGGATGACACACTAAGCCATGGTCAAGCTGAAAGGCTGTAGAGTGGGAAAATAGGGTTGCTAGTCTGGTCAAGAGTTTGCAAGTAATGATAGCCCAAGCAGCACTTTGCTCAGCTGTCATTGTTCCCTACCCCTATGCTTCTGCTAATGCTCAGAGAGCTGGACTACTCATAAACAAATGGATGAAAACAGGAAAACAGATGTCAGCTGCTGAATGTCCTTTTTTGGCAGCTGTCAGCCACTCTCCTCCCGGTTCCTGCTGTGTCTCCTGGGATACAGCTGCGATGACTGAGGGGGGAAGAGGAGAGAGGCAGTTCCTTAGGATCCCTGCTACGCCAAGTCCTTAGGCACAACAGGGACTCCAAACAGTTTTATCTCTATATATCTGTCCTGTACTTAAGCCATGGTAGGCTGCAGTGATTATGCCTACTCAGTGATTATGCAACTATTCACTTACCTTCCTTAACAGTCACTTCCTTTTTCTCTGGTGAGAAAGTAGATGGAAGAATATAGAGATTAAAATATGGAAAGGTCACAAACCTGCCCTCCCATAAAATTCCATGAATTAGTTTTTGACATGGCACGAAAAAGACCTAACCTGAAAAGTCAAACACCTCTAATTTACCCTTCATCATGAAGTGTACATATTATTTTACACAACAGAAAACAAAGCCTTGATTATGTAAGTTGGTGACTTCCTCCTGGAGGTATTATCTCCCTTTTGTTGTCACGGACTTCACTAGGAACTAAAGTTGCTTGGTACCTATAGGCAAAAATAATAAAAAGCAGAACTGTGTTAAGTGTTTTTGCCTTTGAAGATAGGGCTTCTAGTTCAGGAACATTTTCAATACGTGTGTTCTGCTTTGTTTCAATGATGCATAGACTCCATTAACTTTGACATCTATTATTGACATTATAATTCTGTTTCTTGAAATGCGACTAAAAGAAAGAAGTAAGATTCTACTTTCAGTTCCTTTCCATTTTAATTCTGCCACTATAAGCTGCTCTAAATGACAGTTACAGAAATCTCAGGAATCAGAAATTAAATGGTCCCCAAATATAAGATTTGCTTTTTAAGAATTATAAAAAGATTTAAATGTAATTATTTTAGAGGCTTCTTACTCAGAAACAGGTCTGCTAATTCCCTGTTTTTAACATATTCCTACTTGTGAGCTAGAGATGAAGAGAAGAATCGGGCATTCCACCCGAGTGTCCCATCACACAGGTTTTTTTCTTGCTTATCCCCTTGATGGAATTGGAATTCTGCTTTCTGAGGCAAGTAGGAGGGGAAGGTATACTGGATGTATGCATATAGAAAATGTTACAAGTACTAACTTGTGAACT